TCGCAAGCTGGCCGAGGGGCTCAATGAATGGAGGATTGAGAAGCGTGCCAAGGTCCAGGTCCCTGCCTAGAGCCCTGGTGATATGCTTGATGGGCCTGGTTCATACTGTGAGTGCGATGCCGTCGCTGGGCACAGTAGCAGGGTCGCTTGCCGCGGATCCTCTGTTTCAGGAGACTGGCGGCAATGCTGCCGATGTGGAGGTGGCCAGAGCGCACTGCCTGGGTCGGAGCGGCGGCGGCAGTGCCGAGGGCCGCGGCAACGGGCGCGGAGGACGAGCCGCGGACGCGCGGGTGGTCGATGCCTCGTCCCACGTCCGACCTCCTGCTCGAGACGTCGACGGACGTAGCGCCCCGAGCGGGAAGGCAGCCGCGGCCCAGGCGAGACCGCGGTCGTCCGACTCCAGGCCCAGCCACGATGCGGCAAGTGTTGGGCCAAGCCGTGGTGCAGGAGGCCTAGCGGCCGAGGGCCGTGGCAAGGGGCGAGCTAAGCGAGCCGCGGACGCGCGGGTGGTCGATGCCTCGCTCCTCGCCCCTGGGCTCACTCGGGCCGTCGACGGACGGAGCGCAGCCCCGAGTGGGGCCTTGGCCACGCGGCAGGCTGGCGTGGGCGGCGAGCACTGCCTGGGTCGGAGCGGCGGCGACAGTGCCAAGGGCCGTGGCAAGGGACGGGGAGGACGAGCCGCGGACGCGCGGGTGGTCGTTGCCTCGTCCCACGCCCAGCCTCCCGCTCGAGACGTCGACGGACGTAGCGCCCCGAGCGGGAAGGCAGCCGCGGCCCAGGCGAGTCCGCAGCCGCTCGACTCCAGGCACAGACGTGATGCAGCCCAGGAGGGGCCAGGCCATGGCGAGGGTGGCCTTGCGGCCCAAGGCGGTGGCAAGGGGCGTGCTAGGCGAGCCGCAGACGCGCGGGTGGTCGATGCCTCGCCTCACGCCCCAGGGCCCACTCGGGCAGTCGACGGACGGAGCGCAGCCCCGAGGGGGACCGATGCCACGGAGCAGGCTGGCCACAAGGGCAGCATCGTGACGCTGAATTGCTCGTCCGAGAAGCAGCTGATCGAGTACATGGTGCACTGCAGTCACACGGTGGTCGCGGTGCAGGAACATCACGTTGCTCATGATGACCTGGCAGACGCACAGCATCGGTTGCTGGACGCGGGCTGGCAAGGCATATGGGCAGCGGCCAACCACACTGTCAACGGTGGCACGCAGGCAGGGCTAGCAGTTCTGGCCAGGCCGAACGTCATGATTACGCGTGGGCCGTGCATGAACGGACAGACCGTACTGGCTGGCGGTCGAGCCTTGCCCGCTCAAGTACATTGGGGAGTCCCTGGAGGGGTGGTACTGGTCTCAGTGTATCTTTCTGTCAATGAAGGTTGGTCTGACAATAACCAACACATCATGCAGGAGGTCAGCAGCTATTTGGAAAGATTGAATCATGCAGGCTACGATTGGATTGTGGCAGGAGATTTCAACATCGAAGCATCCCAGTTCGGCGATATGCGATGGCTACACGGGCTTGGTGGTATGCTTCGGGCTCCAGCGGCGACCACATGCAGACAGGCTATGCCTGGTAGTTGCACCGACTACTTCCTCACGTCGTCTAACTTGATGACACGAGTAGAGCAGCCGTGTGTTCAGGAGGCGGCAACCACGTTTCCGCACTTGCCAGTGTATATGCATATCAGTGGCAAGGACATCCAGTTGTTTCATCGCGAGCTGCGTGGGCCGCGTGCCGCGCCCAAACAGCCGAAGCCAGGGTGCGCGAGGTTTCCATTGTGTTGGCACGGAGTTGCACGTATTATAGATGCCGCGTGTGACGACAGCAGCTTGCAGGTGGCATGGGATGCTGTGCTGAGCCAAATTGAATTAGAGCTGCTTGCCAGACATGACGTCGTTGGCACCAAGGCTAAGCCGTTCGTTGGAGCATGTGGCCCAGTAGAGTTTGAGATTGTCAAGCTGCAGTGGCAACCACAGCAGAAGCGTTCATACATGTCAAAAGCAGCCAATGCGTGGTGCGTTGCAGCCAGATGGGCGCGCCACATGCGTAGGGCGAAAGAAGCTATCATGAATGTCACGGCGAAGGTAAGTCTGCAGCAAGTGACAGGGGCGGCAGACATGGCCCACCTGCACAAGCTGTCGAGTTTGACGATTGAGCTAGGCCGCTTTTTGGCGAAGGTGATGACTGAGACGGCCGTGCTCAGCGAACTCGACAGCTGGGCGTCTGACTTGTTTCTGTTGGGAATGGAGTTCCTTGTTCACACAGAAGTAGATGCAGTGCTGGATGCAATCGAGGCCAAAGCAACGGAGCTTGCGGAGGCACACAGTCAGAAGACCGCCAAAGCCTGGAGGGACTGGGCGGCAGCCAGCTTTTCTAACGGCGCGCGCTTCGCGCACAGGCACACGAAAGGGAGAGCGCTGCAGGAAGTGGTTAATGCTAATGTGACCGCTCGCACGCCCTCCCAGCCGTATCAGCTAGCCGATAAGGCCATGAGGGACTGGGAAGAGATTTGGTCGATGCACGATGCCGCAGTCCCTCAGTTGCCAGCAGAGGCGAAAGACTGGGAAGAGCCCCCAA